GTCTTGCCAAACCCTTTTAAGGGTTGCTCATCCACCTTTGTTGTATACTTGTTACCCAACTTTCACCTGTGGCTTCAAGAAGCTATAGCATATGAAACAGCCACACTCTGCTAAAACTGTCTCAGTAGACAGCTAAACCAAGTTGACCATAATCAATAGGTCTCAAACCCATCAGTCAGTTAAGGGGATGGCTATCCCAAGCGTATGAAGGTTTCCTCTAGAGAAATGAATGGATAAGAACAATTTGCTCCAATGGCCATGGAGGTGGCTGAAACAGGTGCTGTGGAGTGCTTAGAGCTTGGTTGGACATCTATGACACCAAAGTCATCCAATGCATCCTGGGCCATCACCAGTGATCTTGACTTTTCTCTTGCCACTGGACTTCAGTGAGTCTGGATTGGAGAATGTGTCTGATGACTTCTTGGCAATTCTGCCTCACTTAACTCTAATTCATGCATAAGTCAAGATGTCAGTCATCACGTTGTGATGTCATTGGCCATCTTTGAAAACAAAGGGCAAGCAACAACTACAACAACAACAAGACCTGATGCTGTTAAGCTCCTTTCATGCCTATGTTTTTCCCCATTGTTTCCCTTAAGAATATTGACTTTTGCACCTCCATAATGAATTGAAGTATTATTTTTTCTATTTCTATAAAGTAATACTTTTATAGTTTGATTGGGATAGCATTGAATAATTAAATTAATTTATAAAGTATAATCATTTTATCATATTGACTCAGACTACCCATGAACAATTAAATTTGTCCAAATATTTAAGCTTGTGTCAACTTCTGTAAATAGTGGTTTGTAGCTGCATTTCTAGTTTTTCTGTATATTTTGGTAGATAGACTCCCAAGTATTTTGCTCCTCAGGATATTCCTTGTCTAACTTTACCCTTCTCTGGCATACGTGTGGTCTTCAGTGTGTGCCTTTGGTTAACCCTTGCTTGAGTCATCTTCAATTATACAAAGAAATTAATTAATCTCTTCCCTATAAGGAACTGGAGCAGTGGGTTGCATTCATTTTCTTAGATTCCAAGGGTATTTTTTTTAATTTTTAGGCAAGTGGGGTTAAGTGACTTGCCCAGGGTCACACAGCTAGTAAGTGTCTAGTGTTTGGTCTGAGTCCGGATTTGAACTCAGGTCCTCCCAACTCCAAGGCCGGTGCTCTATCCACTGCACCACCTAGCTGCCCCCAAGGGTATTTTCAATCACACTTATCATTGATTAATTGTCCTATTCAGTGGCAGAATAAAAAAAAAATGTAGCAAATACAACCATTTGATCTTCTAGCCTTTAAAAAATCAACATCATGTCTTTCCAAGACATTTGTCTTTTCAGAGTCTTCTGTCTCAAACAACTATGGGGATTAACAATCTTGATTTCAGTTAAAGTTATAACTCAGCTTCTGACCTATCTGATATATAGAAGAATATATGTCTTATAATTCCCATATAGCTTTCTCTTAAAAACCACTTTCACTTAAAAACCATTTAAAAATGGTATGTCCTGACATTCATATCCTTCCCTATACAAAACTCAATTAAAAAAACAGTAACAAATATTAATAATTATGTTTACATATAATTGGAAAAAATAAGAACTTAAATGAAAAAAGAAAATGTTAATTTCACTTCATATTTTCTTCTCTACCCTGATTAATTTTATTGAGAGTAGCAGTTCTCAAAGTGTGGTCTGGGGAGCCTCACAAAACCTGAGACCCTTTCAGAGATTCTGTTAAGTTCCAAAATATATTCGTAATAATACTATGATATTTTAATTTCTAATATCAATATATCATAAATATAAATAGATATGACTCTCATAAACTAAATATTATAACAATTACAATATTATAGATCCAAATATCAGTGATTTAACTCCAATAAACAAAAGACCTTTAAAGTCCTTGGTAATTTTTAGGAATGTAAGGTTTTGTAAGACCAAAAATTTTGAGAACCACTAACATAGGTATCAATTTAAATTTAATAGAGATTAATCTGTTGCAGAGCTATTGCCCAATCTCATGTTCAAATTTTCCAAAACAATGTTAGCTAAAGGGTGCTTGGATAATATTATAAGGGCTATTAATTTGCCTTTGAGATATTTTTAATTGCTGCTTTATAATATAATTTTAGATCTGGTATGGGTAGGTCACTTTCCTTTGTATTTTTTTCATTAATTCCCTTGATATCCTTGACCTTTTGTTCTTTCAGATAAATTGTGTTATTATTTTTTTTCTACCTCTAAAACATAATTCTTTGGCAGTTTGTTTGGTATGGACCAGAACAGGAAAATTAATTTAGGTATAATTGTCATTTTTTAAATACTGACTTGTTTTACTTGAGTAATTAATATTTTTTCATTTATATATGTCTAACTTTATTCATGTGAAATGTGTTTTATAATCATATTCATATAGTTCCTGGGTTTATCTTAGCAGTTAGACTTTTAAGTATTTTATATTGTCTACAATTATTTTAAATGGGATTTCTCTTTCCATCTTTAGCTGTTGGACTTTGTTGGTAATATATAGAAATACTGATGTTTTATATGGATTTATCTTATATTCTATGACTTTGATTAGATTGTTAATTATTTCAATTAGTCTTTTAATTGATTCTGTAAGTTTCTGATCTAGGTGTATCATCATATGTCTTCAAAGAATGATAATTTTTTTCCTCATTACTTATTCTAATTCCTTTGATTTCTTTTTCTTTTAATATGTTAATTTCACTTCATATTTTCTTGTGTCTCTTTTGCAATTAGACAAATTCTATTTTTAAAGGCATCCATTTGGTTTTCAATTCTTAGCCACCACAAAAAGAGATGCTATAAATATTTTTGTACAAATAGGACCCTTTCCTTTTTATGTCTTTGCGATATAGACCTAGTAGTTCTTCCAGTAATTATTATCAGGTTTGGGTCCACTTGGCATTTTTCTTCCAGGTTTTTGGAGTATCTGTTTTTACATTGTTGTCCTCTGAGTTTGTGTATTGGTCTTCCCTACCACTCTAATAATGTATTTTTTTCTGATGTTTAAGTTCCTTTTTTGTTTTTTGCTCATTTTTTCAGTCTATTTCTTGACTTTGAACTTTATGTTAAAATTGGGCTTTGCTCACCTTGGGGTAGGGAGGCACTGTCCCAAGTTTCAGACTTTTTCATGCTACTGTTTTCAGAAATAACTTTGGAGGTCTGAAAGTTTTCAGTGCTTCCTAGGTGGTAGGATCTGGGGAGAGATTTGGTCAATGCTCTTCTAGTCTTACTCCATTCTTTGCCTAGGAATAATCCCTGTTCTTCTGTAGCCACAAGCACTAGTGCTCTTCTTTCCTCTGGAGCTGTGACCAGGTCCCATACTCTTCTGGTGCTGTAAGTGTTAGTGCTCCTCTTGGCTTTGTAACTGTGACCCAAAACTCTATATGTACAATAATCACCAGTTGCACCCAGTGACAGCAATAGGTTCCCTGTAACCCCTGATCACTTTTCTGACCCCCTTCTAGGATGAGAGCTCCTGAAGCTAATGCTGCAGCCTCTGATGCTGCTGCCATATGTGCACTCCAGACAGGCCTTCACCTCAATGTCACAGTCCTCTCCTATGGATCTCCTAAGTTTTCTTAGACTGGAAAAATATTTCACCTTGATCTTTTCTTGATTCTGTCATTCCAAAATTTAATTTGAAGCATTGTTTTAATTTTTTTTGGATGGGTAAGTTGAAAGAGTTCAGCTGAGTTGCTTCCTCATCATCTATGCTCTCCTTGCCTACTCTTTCAAAAACAAACCTGCTCAATTTACTTGGATCAAATGTTGCTCCTACCACATCCTCCAAATTATGGATTATTTTGTTGATCATTCCTCTGCCAGTATATAGCAACTTATAGCAGAGTATTAGATCTTCTGAGATAGATCCTCCAAGGAGAAGAGGAAAAGGCTCAAAGGGTACTGTCAAAGATATAGTCATTACTGAACTTGTGAAGACATTAGCATTTACTCAGCCATTTGGTGTTCCTAACATTTTTCAGCATTTGTTGTAGACTTTTCCCAGGGACACACAAAACACAATTGAGCATAGACGTACAGAAATAATCACACAAATAATGAGATTTATCCTGTGCCATATTGCCTTGCCATTAAGAAGTCTCACTCAGTCCTTATGATTTCTTTGTTGTACCATAATAATCTCTATAGCCCCAGTATAAGGTTCAATTTAGGAATACCAATCTAGAGATGTGGGTAGTATCCATTTTTGTATGCTTACTATAGGCAGCCTCAGCCTGGGAGAGAGGCTTATTCTCTTATAAGGTCTATTAGTGGTAATTGCCCTGTTCCTACTTACTCAGCTCAACTGCCCAGTTCTTCCATCACTGTGGTAACAATCTTCAAAATGAGTCTAGCTTCTTCTCAACAACATGGGAATGGATTTTTCATCATAATATCTTGCACAAGGATCAAGAAAATTTGAAATATAATTATCCCCCCCACCACTGACCACTTTTATGCCCTTTCATCTTACTTAAAAACACCTCAGAGCAACTTAAGGCTATTGGCAGCTTGCATTGATCTTTCCTCAGCCTTTGATTCCATAGCCACAGAACATATAAAGACCAAACTATATGATCTTGATATACTTTTTCTCAGCTACTAGTGATTTTCCCAAGTCAGCACCATAGGATTGTTGTTAAAATTGGAGTGGTAAGTGAGAGTCTCATGATAGATAATAATTTTAGTTCCAAATGTGGGCCAGTGTCCTAGCTCCCCTTTTTAAAAATAAATTTTATTAATATTATTTCTTTTTTATAGTGCCTAAATTATCCCAGTATCCCTCCCTACTGCCCTTCTAGAAAATAATCCCTCATAACAAAGACCTCCTTATTTTTGTTCAAAGATAAACATCTTTTGTTTTACAGAAATTGTAATAAATTTTATTTCAGCTAAATTTAAAAAGAGTAAATTATGCCAAAATGAGTTTCATAATTTTCTTTTTTTGAAAGGATAAGTGCTCATTTGAGTATCACATGTATTAACACAATATGAAATAATACATAGAATATTAGCATGGCCTCTATGTAAGTATGACATGCAAATTAGTAAAGTGTTTCAGGTCTTTCAGTTGCTTTTTTTTTTTTGAGCAGGAGATAGTACTCCTTTTTTATTAAGACTACTAGGAACTCTGGAAGCAGATTGAATGAAATTAACAATGTCTTTAACCCTACCCCCACCTCCCAATAAGCTCAAATTAGATGCATGCATGACCTGAGTATTATAGGTTGGATCAATCAATTTACATTTATTAAGTGTTTACTATATGCTAGGCACTGTGCTAAGCACTGGATTAAGAAAAAGCCATATTAGGAGTTTCTACAGCCAGATACTTTGTCTAGGACAAGAGAATTGAAGTGAGTGGGGGCTAATTGAGGACAAGGACCATTTTTATATTCTCCCCTTAGGCATAGTTGTAAAAGTTATCTAATCTGGTTCTTATCTATTTTTTTTAAATGTTGTGACCTTTGACCTTTGATATTCAGGTTGTTTATCCCTTTGAGCTTATTATGACATACACTAAAGATGCTATTCTAATCCCAGTTTCTGCCAAACTGTTATCTAGTGTTCATAGCTAAAAGGGAGCCTTTTCATAGTTTTAAAAAGTATTTCATAAATTTGCATGTCATACTTGTAAAGACCTTGGCTAATGTTCTCTGTATCATTTTGATTTTAGTATAAATATATATGTACATATATTTATATATGACCTTTAAAATAAGGAAATGATGAAATGAAATTTATGTGGCATGACTTGCTCTTATTTTATTAGTTGAAATACCATTCTTTTTATGTAAAACAAATCCATGTCAAACATACAAAAAATATTTTAAAAATATCTCCATAATAAGACCTCACGATATATAGTTGAAATCAATTCACCTTCTTTAAATTTTCAGACATTGAACCTACAAGAACATGCTCAGCAAAGTCATGAGTATTTAAAAGTATTTGTTGTTTAATTATTAGCCTGGCACAAAAAAGGAAACACAAAAGAAATGGAGTGACCTGCAGGGACCCCAGATTGCAGTCCAATAGGATCTTCTAAAGCTTTATTCAAGGTAGTAGCAGAATATGGCAGAATCCTTACATCAATCTGCTTTTGTACTTGTTATAATGAAAACTTCAGCCAGTCTGAAGTTATATATAGATATAGATTTTTTTAAAAAAATATTTATTTGATTGTTAGTTTATGGAATAAAACAGGCATTTCTGTGACATAGTATAATAAAAAAGATGATTGCATATGAAACTGTAAATCCATCATGCACAACTTGCTATTCCTTTTCAATATGCAATAGAGTTTCCATGTAAATTTCTTCTTTTATCACCCCCCAACCTAGAGATGACTACTATTAGACACAAATATGTATATACATGTAAAATGATTTTATACATACTTCTATTTATCAGTTCTTTCTCTGGATGTGGAAAGTATCTTCCTTCATATGTCCTTTGTAGTCAATGTGGAAGTTTATAATAGTCAAAATGACTTGTTAGTGTAAAGTTGTACTTAAAACAATATTGCTGTTACTGTACACAGCCTTCTCTTGGTTCTATTCATTTTATGCTTTATTATTTCGTGCAAGTCTATCTGTGTTTTTTAAAAATCATCAAGTTCATCATTTCTTAGAGCACAATAGTATTCCATTATAATCACATACCACAGCTTATTCAGCCATTCCCCAATTGATGGCCATCTCTTTAACTTCTAGTTCTTTGCCACCACAAAGAAAGCTACTTTAAATATTTTAGAATATATAGGTCCTTTTCATTTTTACCATATATATATATATATATGTATGTATATTGATCTTGATATAGATATTTTAGTAGAGACATATTGACTTTTAGAAATAATTGTTTCCCTTTCAAAGGATTCATAAATTATTTATTGCATTAGCATAATTTAAGTGGACATTGATCTCAGTAGGGAAGCCTACCAGCAATCTGGGGCCTGATAACAATTAACACAGTGCCACCTCCACATAGAATCATATGGAGGGCCTCACCATTCCTAGGAGATTCCTTTTTGATTTGTGATCCATCCAAGATATTCTCTATGACAGTGGGGGAACAACTTGGGCAAGTATGTGTCACTATTAATTTGATATTGATAATTACAAGATAATTGAATAAATGTGTTTATATGGATGTACCTATTAAGTGTTCTTATATGAACCTAACATTTATACATTTGATCACTATATGGAAAAATCATTAAAGCTGTGCTTTGCACTATTGTCAATAAAAACATCAGCAAATATTGAACAATTTATAATCTTGTGTACTTTGCACATTTTAGTCAATATATGACTTTTAGGATGATAGAACATCATCTGTGAAAGCTGGCCTGTTTCCTTCTTATATTGTTTTTATTAAAGTTATCAAAGTATATTTAAGTTGTTATAATAATGATTTTATAGACATGAGAAAATAGACTGATTCTTTCTCCATCAAAACTGTCCTTTCTTTTTCTTACACATGGCACTCCCATCTCCTCTTGCCAAGCCTTTCCACTGGCTATGCCCATGTCTGGAATGCACCCTTGCTCTTTTCATTTAAGGGGCAATTAAGGGACTTCTCCTTCTGGGAGCCAAGATGGTGGAGTAAGAAGTAAGTCACTCTCACCCTCCCTTATTGACCTCTGAAAGCTCAGAAAATATCACTCCAGGAAAAACCTTGGAACAGCTAAGCCAGCAGAAAGAGGGGGTGCAGCAGTCTTATAGCCCAGGAAGCTTGAGGGCTTAATAGGAAAGGACACTCTTGCTCTGGGGGAGGGGGAGCAGTACAGGACAGGAAATGTCCCAGCAAACCAGTGACAAGCCCCACCTCAGCATACCAAGGGGAGATCCTGAACACTAAGCTAGTGGAGCAGGCAAGCACCAACACCATGACCCACTGAGTACCTCAGTACAGGCAGGTGAACCAGTAGACACCAGCTCAGAAAACCACCATGTGTGACAGCCTTCTCCATCAGCCAAATTTCTTAGTGCCTAAGAACAATTCCAGGAAGCACAATTCCAGGAGGCAAATCTCCAGGATGCCAGACATCCTCCAGCAACAAAACATCCCTGTGCAAGGCCAAGGTGAGCAGGAGCCAAAGAAAGGAGTGGAAGGCCTGGGTAAGCAGGCATCCCCCATGGGCCAGATTCCCCACCTCCACCCTGAGAGCTGTTACTGACCCCAGGACAATACCAGGTAAGCTGCCAGAACCCTATAGCCTCCAACTGCCACCATTGGAGACCCCAGCACACAAAACCAGTGACTAGGCCCTGGGCTCCCAACACAAGAAGCTTGAGTCAGTGCCCCCTGCACTATAGCAGGATAGCTCAACTCTCCTTAAAAGTCAGAAAATAAGCAAACACCATGAGCAAAAAGCAGAAACAGACAACGACCATAGATTCTTATTTTGGGAACAAGGAAGACCAAGGCACAAATTCAGAAGAGGACAACATTGTCAATATACCCACATCAGAAACCTCGAAGGGAAATGTGAACTGGTCTCCAGCTCTTCTTCAAAGAGCTCAGGAAGGATTTTAAAAGTCAAATAAGAGAGGTAGAAGAAAAGTTTGGAAAAGAAATGAGAGGTATGCAAGAGAGAGTCAATAGCTTGGATAAGGAAGGACAAAAATTCACTGTAGAAAACAAGTCCTTAAAAAATACAATTGACCAAATGGAAAAAAAAGTACACTGAAGAAAACAACTTAAAAAGTAGAATTGGCCAAATGGAAAAGGAAGCACAAAAACTCACTGAAGAGGAGAACTCCTTAAAAAGTAAAATGGGCCAAATGGAAAAGGAGGTACAAAATCTAAAAGAAGAAAATAATTTGTTAAAAATTAGAATTGGGCAACTGGAAGCTAATGAATCTATGAGAAGCAAGAATCAGTCAAACAGAAACAAAATAATGAAAAAATAGAAGAAAACATAAAATATCTCATTGGTAAGACAAATGACCTGGAAAATAGATTCAGGAAAGACAATTTAAAAATCATTGGTCTATCGAAAACCATGATGAAAAAAAGAACCTTGACAGCATCTTTCAGGAAATCATCAAGGAAAACTGCCCTGAGGTACTAGAACCAAAGGGTAAAATAGTCATCCAAAGAATCCACTGATCCCCCTCTGAAAGAGATTCCAAATCGAATATGCCAAGGGATATTTTAGCCAAATTCCCAAGTTATCAGGTCAAAGATAAAATACTGCAAGCAGTCAGAAAGAAACAATTTAAATATCATGAAACCACAGTCAGGATTATGTAAGACCTTGCAGCTTGTACATTAAAACATTGTAGGGCATGGAATATGACATTCCATAAGGCAAAGGAGCTTGGATGACAACCAAGAATCAACTACCCAGTAAAATTGAGCATAATCATTCAGAAGAGGAAATGGACATTTAAAGAAATAGGTGACTTCCAAATCTTCCTGAAGAAAAGACCAGAGTTCAACAGAAAATTTGATTTTCAGATACAAGACCCAAAAGAGGCATAAAAAGGTAAACAGAAAAGGAAAAAAAAAAACATGTTATTAATAAGAAAAAAATTGTTTACATCTCTACAAGGAAAGATGACACTTGAAACTCTTGAGGACTATATTGTTATTATGACATTTAAAAGGGGTATACATAGACAGAGGGAAGGGTATGAGTTGTCTTTGATGTGATGATAAAAAAAATTAATTAAGTGGTGAAAAGGAATTGTACTGGGAGAAGAGGAAAGGAGGAGGCAGGCAAGGGTAAATTATATCATACAAAATGGCAAAAAAACCTATTACAGTAGAGGGAAAGAAGTGAGGGAGATGAGCATTGTAACTCATCAGATTTGGTTCAGAGAAGGAATAACACAATCAGGTATATTTACCCTATAGGAAGTAGGAGGGGAAAGGGAAAAGAAAAGGGAGTAGGTAATAGAAGGGAAGGAAGAAGTAGTAAGGGTAAAAAGGAAGAAAAAGGAGGGGGCTAATAGAAGGGAGGACAGACTGAGGGAGGCGGTGATCAAAAGGAAATCTCTACTGAGGAGGGAAAGGGAGAAAGGAGAGAAAAGCATAAATGGGGTGGGAAGAGTG